CCATATTCTCAGAGATTCGCCTGGTAATTTGTTCCGTTAATTGGGTGTAAGAGAACACGCCGAGATACGATAGAGTTTCCGTGCATTTATAATGTCAAAATAGTAAACAACTTTGTTCGTTCTACGGGCTAAATACATACTTACATTCCCTGTTCTGGGGACAGTTTAGCGAACAATTCTTTGATAATTGAAACAGCAGCACCAGCCGGCCACACTAGGCAGAGGGTGAAGTTCATTAACTTCAATAACATCACTTGTGGTGAACGCTTGTCCACAGTCTGTTTAAGCCTCCACTCTGCTGTCCTCCAGGTACAGTTGGAGGTCCACTTACCTGTGGTTATCCGTCTGTCTGTACTTCAAAGCTCATTAGCACGATGACTGGGTCATTGTTAACTTACTTTAGTCAGAGTTGGTGAAGGGATGCAAGTCTGTCTGAACCAGTGTTGTAACGCTTTTGGTGTCAGCATATGCAAATTGAGTGACAGGTTTGTATATTTACAGTGTATTGTCTTATTTTGTGAAACTTTTTTGTGTATAAAGCACACACAGTGGTTTGTACAGTACATACTCTCCTGCATACGCCCTTCTGTCTCTCCCACACATCTCCACAACTTGCTCGTTTAACTTACACAGCCTCCCTGTTTACCTCACATTGACACAACACAACTGTTTGGTCTTAACAGTATCAGGTGTATACAGAACAACAAAATCTGGCGTCTTTGTAAATATGGCGAGATATTACTGGTGCATGTGTGTACTGGGAATTTCACTTGAAAATCGACGTTGGATTGAGCGCCCGCAGGTCTAAATAAGTGATGTGGTGTAATCTAACCCAAGTGTGAAATATTGTTCAAGTTCTGTGTATATACCTGTGCGTGTGCATAAGCGGCCATATTAGAGAACTGACGACTTCAAAATGCATGTGTTATAAAGTTAAGATAGTTCATGTCAATATATACTGACTATCACTTGCTAACTCTTCATATCTATGTTTTGGCCGCTTCTGCTTATGCACACACTACTCACGGGTAATATTACCTTTCATGAGTATTTTATACCACAACGACAGATACACCCGCGCCCACTGACCTTCAGGGATCCTCACCAAAAAGCAGTGCTGTGATCGCCAGATACCTGTTGGCTGTTGCTTGCACATGCAAATTCAGCTCTTAGTTTACTCTGTGTCCATCTTGTGGGCCACTTCAGTACAGGAGTACGGCGCGGCGGCCCTCACCGTGTTAGTTCTGCTGCTTAGGGGGAGTATCGTCCGCCGCCACTCCTAATTTTGGTAGTGGTGCTCGTGTAAGAATATTGTCCACATGCGCCCCCGATGTTGGCGCTGCTGTCCCGTAAGGTTATGCAAATATTGGGCCAAGAGGAAGGCTTATATTTACATAATCTTAAGATGAATATGCTTTTGGTAGTGCATATCGGTCTTATAAAGTGAAATTTAAGCGCAGGTATACTATCATGAATGGGTGAGGAGTCTCCAGGATGACTCGGCCGTGATAGAAGTCGACATCTCAAGGGAGTACTTTTTCACGATACGGTATTAGTATTTGAATCCGTCTTAGTTCAGAAAGGGAGTCCACTCTCACCCCGGCACAAGACTTAAGTTGCCACCAGTTGAGAGGCGGACGGCCCTTCAAGGCGGCTTTTGAGGAGGAACATGAGGATAAATGACTTTCCTTGTGTGTCGTGACCTGGAAGATGGACAGCCGCTCTCACATCAGCCTCCTGCAGGACCAAAGGTGGAGCGTTCCCTCCCGTGACGCTCACAGCCAGGTCCACCATGATATATTGCCCGTCACTCAAGGTGTTGGTGGGACAGGCGGGGCTCAACACACTTACTGGGCGGCTGTCTCCCCATGGCATCATACACACACACACACACACACACACACAGGGAACAACTATCCACACACACACACACACACACACACACACACACAGGGTAACAACTATCACCTTACTAAACACAAAACAACTAGATACCTTTTTTTTTATTAGCTTATTAAATTTCTTGTGTTTCCTTCATCACCATTGGAAGGGTTAATGATAGTGTTGTGAATATCCTACCTTTATCTCTTCACCTTTATTCATGGTCCAGAAATATCCCGTCGATGGCTTCTGTTCAGTAACTAGACGACGCTTATAAACCAATACCTTCAGTTGTCGCTTAGTAAAGATGTGTGGTCATTAGTAGGACACTTTTACCTATACTTGGATCGTAGGTCAAAATTTATATTGAATTTGGTTTTCATGAAAGTTGGTGGAAGATCGATATTGACAATTATTAGTCAATTTTTAGGGATCACTTGGAAAATCTCCTCACCCTCCCTCCCCCCCTCCCCCGCGTTACCTGGGAGGGGATGCTCAGTTATTAGAATAGGAAAGTTTGAATATTTTTGTTTTATTATCCGAAATATAAATACTTTACTGCCTATTTATCGACTTAGGAATATTAGGTTATAGATTTCTCCAACACTTATGATGGTGAGAAATGGAACTTAACAAGAAGACGCGCATTTGTGAACACTAATTTACTACAACAACGAAAATCCCCAAAAAAAAAAATAAATAAATATATAAATAATAATGTACCAAGTATATATAAAAAAGTAATATATTATGTAGTGCTCTAGTAAACAATAGTGATTAATTTATTTTGTAGTGAGAATAAAGTGTTTTGTGTTGGTGGTGGGAGAAGTGCAGCAGCATGATCATATTTATTCATGATGCAGCGCTCCTCTGACCGTGAGGTGTGTTCCTCCTACACCTCCTCTTCTAGATGACCCCCTCCTCCCTTCCCTCCTCTCTTATCTGCTCCCCGGTCCTTCATCCTCCCTCCTTGCCCCTTCATCCTCCCCTCCTCTAACCCTTCATCCTCCTCCTTGCCCCTTCATCCTCCCTCCTAACCCCTTCATCCTCCCTCTCTGGCTTCCTCCTCCCCTATTGGCCCTTCCTCCCTCCCTGGCCTTCCTCCCTCTCTGGCCCTTCCTCCCTCCCTATTGGTTTCCTCCCTCCCCTGGCCTTCCTCCTCCTGGCCTTCCTCCCCTCCCTGGCCCTTCCCCCTCTCTGGCCTTCCTCCCTCCCTATTGCCCTTCCTCCTCTATTGGCCCTTCTTCCTCCCTGGCCCTTCCTCCCTCCCTGGCCCTTCCTCCCTCCCTGGCCCCTTCCTCCTCCCTGGCCTTCCTCCTCCCTGGCCCTTCCTCCCTCTTGGCCTTCCTTCCTCCTTGGCCCTTCCTCCCTCCCTTGGCCTTCCTCCTCTCTGGCCCTTCTCCCTCTCTGACCCTTCCTCCTCCTGGCCTTCCTCCCTCCCCTGGCCCTTCCTCCCTCCCTGGCCCTTCCTCCCTCCCCTGGCCCTTCCTCCCTCCCTGGCCCTTCCTCCCTCCTGGCCCTTCCTCCCTCCCCTGGCCTTCCTCCCCTCCCTGGCCCTTCTCCTCTGGCCTTCCTCCTCCCTGGCCTTCTCCTCCCCTGGCCTTCCCTCCCTCCTGGCCCTTCCTCCCTCCTGGCCTTCCCCTCCCTGGCCTTCCTCCCTGGCCCCTTCCCTCCCCTGCCCTTCTCCCTCCTTCCTCCCCCCCTGGCCCTTTCCTCTCTCCCTGGCCTTCCTCCTCTCTGGCCCTTCCTCCTCCCTATTGGCCTTCCTCCTCCTGCCCTTCCTCCTCCTGCCCTTCTCCTCCCTTGCCCTTCCTCCCTCCTGGCCCTTCCTCCTCTCTGGCCCTTCCTCTCCGTCCCTTCTCCTCCCTGGCCCTTCCTCCTCCTCTTCCCTTCCTCCCTCCCTGGCCCTTCCTCCTCTCTGGCCCTTCCTCCCTCCCTGGCCTTTTTAGCCCTTCCTCCTCCCGCCCTTCCTCCCTCCTGGCCCTTCCTCCCTCCCTGGCCTTCCTCCCTCTGCTTCCTCCCCCCTGGCCCTTCCTCCCTCTCTGGCCCTTCTCCTCTCTGGCCCTTCCTCCCCCCTATTTTCCTCCCTCCCTGGCCCTTCCTCCCCCCTGGCCTTCCTCCCCTCCTGGCCCTTCCTCCCTCCCTGGCCCTTCCTCCTCTGCCTTCCTCCTCTGGCCCTTCCTCCCTCCCTTGGCCCTTCCTCCTCCTGGCCCTTCCTCCCTCCCTGGCCCTTCCTCCCCTCCCTGGCCCTTCCTCCCTCCCTGGCCTTCCTCCTTCCTGTGCCTCCTCCTGGCCCTTCCTCCCTTGGCCCTTCCTCCCTCCTGGCCCTTCCTCCCTCCCCTTCCTCCTCTGGTTTTTGGTTCTCCTCCCTGGTTCCTCCTCTCTGGCCTTCCTCCCTCTCTGGCCCTTCCTCCCTCCTTTGGCCCTTCCTCCCTCCCTGGCCCTTCCTCCCCCCCCTGGCCCTTCCTCCTCCTGGCCCTTCCTCCTCCCTGGCCCTTCCTCCCTCCCTGGCCCTTCCTCCCTCCCTGGCCCTTCCTCCCTCCCTTGGCCTTCCCTCCCCTCCCTGGCCCTTCCTCCCCTCCTGGCCTTCCTCCCTCCCCTGGCCCTTCCTCTCCCTGGCCCTTCCCCTCCCCTCCCTGGCCCTTCCTCCCTCCCTGGCCTTCCTCCCTCCTCTGGCCCTTCCTCCCTCCCCTGGCCCTTCCTCCTCCCTGGCCCTTCCTCCTCCTGGCCCTTCCTCCTCTGGCCCTTCCTCCTCCCCTGGCCCTTCTCCCTCCTGGCCCTTCCTCCCTCCCTGGCCCTCCTCCTCCCCTGGCCCTTCCTCCTCCCTGGCCTTCCTCCCTCCCTGGCCCTTCCTCCTCTCTGGCCCCTTCCTCCCTCCCTGGCCCTTCCTCCCTCCCTGGCCCTTCCTCCCTCCCTGGCCCTTCCCTCCCTCCTGGCCCTTCCTTCTCCAGTAGAGGACCTCCACCACTTACATTAGGTGATGCTCCACACAACTATGTATTTGTAAATATTAATAATGATTTATTTATTGTTAATTTTTCCAGATTGAGGAATACAAAATGTTTGGAGTTAAGAGTAGAGACATTGTATGACTAATCGGTGTTGGTGTCTTCCCCCAGACTGCTCAACAACAACCACATCACCAGGCTACAGAACGACTCCTTCACTGGCCTCGAGTCCCTGCGATACCTGTGAGTTTACTATCACTGTTGTTGTCTCTAGCGGTTCATCACACGTTAGTTAGTTATTTATGGGTGTGTTAACTGTGAGGTGATAATATACTGTTGCATGATAGATACTGTCACCAGGCAGGATTATGCCGAGGAACTTTCCGCCAATAACAGTTATATGGTAATTATATTTTAAGAAGTGAATACAGTTATTTATCTTTTGATTATTATTTATGATATTTTTAATATATTTTCTAGATCTAAGTAAGTACAAACTCTTTAAACCACAGATGTTTGGGAAGAGTTAATGGAGGGAGGCAGGTGTATAGTGTCCATAAGCGTGGCATCATATACTATGGCCTTGGTAGGAGGATAGAAACAGTTTATTTCCATTTCTAAAAACATACAACCTCCTGCAATGGGCATGTTGAATAATAAGAAAAATAATACAAAAAATATATATATCAATGTTTTCGTAATGATCGTAATTATAAGAGTGGTCATGTGAGAAACAAGTTACTCAGTATAGGTTGGTAGTGGTGTGTGATCGAGTGGCAGAGAACATCATTTACAACCCTCCCAGGCTGTTCACTCAGGTAATTAAATATTCATCGGGTGTTGGTGTGATTTCCGTGAGTGGCGGCGTTATGTGTAGCTTACTGCTGCTAAGTGTCCAGTGGAGAGCTTAGAACTGTGATGACAATGACACTTCAAGGCGGTTCCGTAAGATGCTAGCGAGTGCTGGAAGCTTATTTATTTGCCTTTGAATTAATGTTTATGTGTCTTATTTATCTTATATGTGTGTGTGTGGTGTAAACGTCTTATTAGTTGTTAGTATTTCACGTGTCATTGCTAACACCCAAGTGAATATAGTCTTAAGCGTAAAACCTGACAATTTGCTATTGTTTCTCATATATACACATGTATAAGAACTAATTTAGCTCCTTTTAACACACACACACACACACACACACACACACACACACATATCTTTAGTTTATTTATTTTCTGCTTGACACTAACAATGACAGGCAGTGTACAGGTGTGAGGGGAGAGCTGCCGTCCTTAGTCCGTCACACCTGACAACTTACCAACCTAGGGACCAATCCGAGGCTATATAGTGTTCTGTTAAATTAGACCTCCGTGAAGTCGTTCGATACTGCTAAAGATTTTGTTTCCTTTAAAAGGATGGAACAAGAGGCGATTAAAGTTACAGGAAAGGTAGGCGGGGGGAGACGAGTTATCGGGTAGGGTCCGGGTAAGACCTATCATGTACCCGAGATGACTGTACGCTACATAACAACACTGGCGCCGAATTGGAAATGTTTAGAGTCGGATTTATGAGCCGCTAACAAGGTCTCAGGTACGTAATTGGCAGTAGAGAAGTGTGATCAACTGGCCAGGCCGTGTAACTTGGGTCTTGGACGTGTCAGAATGCAGCTTTGTTGGAGTGGTCTAGCCGCGCCTTCCTCCAGCGTTGTCAGATGATGGTGTGGAGTGTGGCAGGGGTGTATGTACCAGTATGCAGGGGGTGGCAGGGGTGTATGTACCAGTATGCAGGGGGTGGCAGGGGTGTATGTACCAGTATGCAGGGGGGGTGGCAGGGTGTATATTCCAGTATGCAGGGGTGGCAGGGTGTATGTACCATTATGCAGGGGTTGTAGGGTGTATGTACCAGTATGCAGGGGTGGCAGGGGTGTATGTATCAGTATGCAGGGGTGGCAGGGGTGTGTCTTCGATATGCAGAGTGTGGCAGGGGTGTATGTACCAGTATGCAGGGGGTGGCAGGGGTGTATGTACCAGTATGCAGGGGGTGGCAGGGGTGTATGTACCAGTATGCAGGGGGTGGCAGGGGCAGCATAGGTTGGCATAAACATTAAGACTGCTGGTCAGAGAGAAGGGGAGGTTGTGCTTGCCACATTACCTATAAGGCAAGGCAAACTTGAAGTTTAGGACCGGGAAGTGTGAGTCAAGTGTGCAAGTTGTTTTGATACGAGGAAGGCAGAGAACTTATTATTTGTTTAAGAGAACAGAGGAGCAAAGGCGGATTTCTTGGCACAGAAGAAGGCTGAATTAATGATTTTCGCGAGACTCCTAAGAATGAAGATGCATGTGTGTGTGTCAGTGTCTAGGACCTGGCGGAGACGTGTTGTGAGAGTTGATAATGACTGGCGTATCATGTGGGTTGTGTCATCTTAATCGAGATAAAATGGACGTCGGCGCAGCCCATCGTGCCCACTACTAATGTACTCAGTATATGTATATCAGGCGTGGTGATGATGTCAGCTTAAGTACTTCTCTCGGAGTGGGTCGCCCTGCCACTACATTATGGTTATCGAGTTTTCTTAACGTATCACATGACTCGGTAGAAGGACTCGGGAGTAAGAGTCGAGCAAACTGGGAATGATCTAGTCGGTGGACTGACGTTTGGGCCATGGGCCACGACCCCCTGACGTTTGGGCCATGGGCCACGACCCCTGACGTTTGGGCCATGGGCCACGACCCCCTGACGTTTGGGCCATGGGCCACGACCCCCTGACGTTTGGGCCACGAGCTGTAGGTAGGGTGGACGTTAGAGTCAAAGACCAAAGAGTTCATAACAGTAAATTATAATCCCCTTAATACACCTGGGAACCTTCCACTCAAGAACCTTCAGGTTTTGTTAGGTTAAGTTATTATGTTATTTATATTACTGTACTTTGACGCATGGTTCAAGCGTCCAGGGTCGTGGCCCACAGCCCTAACGTCCCGTGGCCAAACGTCCTACGTGTGATCTAGTGACAGTCGGTAGTGAGGGAATTTTGACCCCCCCCCCCCCCTGGGCACCACCATCCGTCCTCCGAGTGACCAAGTTATCCAACAAACATCTTTGGTGACTAAATATGTCTATACCCCCTTTACAACTCATAGTTTCTACTGTTCTTCCTCCCATCAAAGCACAGTTAAATGTTATTCCTAGCTTTCTTATACAACTGCCATGAAGTTACCTCGACTTTTATTTTCTGGTATTCACTTGAAGTTCATGTACTGTGAGGCATATTCTGATTTGATCATCAGTTGACTCAGATTCCTTTTGTATTATTGAGTGATTCTTTTCTACACATTTTCTTAGACTGGTGACCAAAGGCAGCGTCCACCCACCAGCTATAAACCGATCTTACACATGACCCACAAGTTAATACCAGGTATTGACAATGTGTCCATGGAATATGGGACGCTACACACACACACACACGCACACACACACACATCAGTGTATTCACTCCCAGCAAACACTGCTCCATACACTGTCACTATGTTGAAATGAACTGTAGTTTGAGCTTTTCCCCATCTAGTTATTATATGTCTTATTTGTGTCACTTATGTCACTTGTATATTATTTGTAATTCGTAACCCATTCCCCAAATATGTAACTGTATATTTTCAGCCTTCTGGCTGCCAAGCTCTTTCAATAAACCGTTAATTATTATTATTATTATTATTACACACACACACACACACACACACACACACACACACACACCATTAACTCTACGGATTCTGCGCGCCATTTCTTATTATTGAAAATCTCTACTGATGGCACGTTCTTTTGTGTCACTTCAAGTCCTCTGTTACCTTACTATCTGGTTGGTTGATCGATCAGTCACAGTGTCGTACGATTGGTTGGCAGGTACAGTACTGGTCATGGACAGGCTCATGAGTATACCTGAACTTGTGCCAGTGTTGGTCAAGCCTGGACTAAATGAAGAGTTTATGCTTGATGTTAAAACAGCATTTAGTAGAAGATAATTCTATAACACTCCAATGGCGTTAAGTGCGATTTATGTGGACTGGCGCCTTCTTTAACCAGAGGCTCTGACTTGTGGTGGAGCGGCCGTCACCACATTATAGTCATCCCTCTCTACTAACAGGCTTGGTGCTTTATACTGTCAGGGTCCTACCACATGTTTTTTTTTAATAAACCTTTGAAACTGTACAGGAACTTATACCATGAAATAAATGGCTCCTCAAGCATTTTCTTTCGTCCAACAACTACGTCAAAGACAGTCTTGAACGTCTCGTGTCACCCTTACGGAGGTGCCAAACAAACTAGTCTCTGCTCTTCTGTGGGGTAAATAAAAAACCTGGTACTGTACTGTATATACAGCACATGTGCCCGAGCAGGGGGAGGGGGTTACAAACCCGCCACTCAGCCTATCAAATTTGACCAATTAATGTGGATTAAAAGAAAAATTACCAAGTGAACTGCAACATTTTCTTTATTGAATATTTAATTATTAAACATTATCATAGAAATTTGATGGATAAAGTAAAATATTTAATCAAACAGAAATAAATAATGAAAATAAATATATATTTTGTATTTACTGCTTGGATAAAACCAGCAGCATTAACCTATTCATGGAAATTAAACTTAAATTTTAATTCTCTTAGTTTTCTTAAGCTTCCAATCTGCAATCTGATCAGTTATGTCATTTTCACAAGCTATGAACAAAAGATTATACAACCATTTTTCTCAGGTTCTGTTTCTCAGGGATGTTTTCAAAAGCTTAAGCCTGGTAAAAGACCTTTCACTTTAACACACTGAATGTGGTGCTGTCAAGAATAGCCTGAAAACTTTTGCCACTCGGGCACAGGGATGACCCATCCCTGTGCCCGAGTAGAGCTTCAAAGACAGACCTTGTATAAGACCCCTACTGGTGAGACAGGAGAGTACTGTAGTAACTGTTCTCCATGATGGTAAGACAATAACACACATAAGATAAAGAATTTGTATCACGACTGACTGTCCCCAGAACCGGACATGTAACCCAATGATGCAATACTTCACTTGTTATTTTGAATTTAGACATTTTCAAATTTAAGGAGATTAATGGTGAAATACCAACGTATTTTAGCCTACACAAGATACCTTGTGATGGTCCACACGTTAGAAAAGAAAACACATTTGAAATTTGTGTTTTCCTGTTTTACAGTGGCCGGGGAGGTGATCGCTTCACAGGACTTTTGGCTTACCATCT